AACTTCAAGTGTGCACATCAATTACCCTATCGCCCAGGCAGTAAGAGGGAGTTCTTCATTAAACCTTTATTGCAGCTCTCATCTATTTACCTGTCGCCCCTCACCCACAGACGTAACAAATCCTAAAAATAGAGATCATATCAGTAATCATTGTCATTAAGAGAGAGAGATTGCTATGTAAATAAGGAGATATGGAGAAATATACCCCACCTCTCCCTCCCTCCCCCCTCATCGCGATCCTCTTGCCATTGAATCTTGCGCGGGGGAGTGTGAAAGGCGCCACATTTACATAAACACGGGGGATGTGAGCTTTGCCTTGTCGATTCCCCCGCGTTAATGGTTACTACTTCAGCATCACACTCAACAGTTCTGTTTAGCGATACTCTTAAATACGGTCGAGAACTGCCCAAGAATGCATAAGAACTTAAAAAAATACTCACGTTACGGATTAAAATTTATGCACGTGGGCTTTAGAAATACATATCTAGTTAACAGTAATACATACGTTTGAAGACAATAAGCTGGGGAATATCACCTAAAAAAAAAAAAAAGAATACAAGTTAAAATAAGTCTTGTTTCTTTTAGTATAGTGAACAGCCAATCATTACCTTCCTTTCGCACACCACCAGCAGCATCTTCCCGTCCAATGATTATCATGTGGTGATGGTGGGAGGGAGGGAGGGAGAGGGTCGCTTCCCCTCCTTGGTGATCACGTTAACTTGACACTCTTCAACGCTCATCGTACACGCTTCAAGGTGAACTACTTTTACTGTGGACAAGGCTTACCTCTGGCCCACCACGAGGTTTTTATCGTTTTGTCTCATGCTTAAGCCATACATCAGGGGCACAATTACATTTCGTTATAATCCAATATTAACACGTATGTTTCCACCTGTGTGTGAAATAATTTAGCTCCTCCTCGTGTTTCTCTTGCTCTTCTACTCTGCCAACCATAAACATTTCTTTTGGCTTACCTTCTTAACCATCGCTACATGAAGCCTAACCAAATTACATCAGCATCATCCGTTACGGCTACTGCTAATTATCACACGCCTGTTCTCTCTGTGCTTTCTTTGCAACAAGAATAATTTCTGAGCGTTCATTGACCTAATACAGCAGGAAATGGTACTGTAATCAAAACCGCCTCGTCGAATATCGGGTTTAAATATTGCTCCTCGCCGAACATTAGTTGTAACTCTACACTTGCGGTTCTGTAGACCTCAAACAGAAGGATTTGAGACGGTGATCATGCACAAAAAACACTTAATTTTGAGTCAAGGGAAATAACTGCCAATGAGTGAATTCTTTGTATTAAGTAAAGGCCAGGTGATATAGAACATTTGTCACCTTGGCCATTTGGGAGCCCACAGTGGAGGAAACTCAGACGACTACTGTAGGCTTGCGGTTTACTATCCGGACGAACCGGTACCCATTCACACCTGTGTAGAATGAAACGTGTGTGATAAAAGTTCGTTGCCCACCCCCGCCCAGGACCCCAAAGTGAGAATAATAAAAAAAAAAAAAGAGTCCAGGAATTTTATCCACTCACCTAAGGCATAACAAACATAACCGTTGCAACAGAGCTCCAATAAAAGATTTTCTCAGGTGTAACAGTTTATCTAATATCTAAATCTTAATTAACTTGATCTTAAAAAAAACCATTTACATACAGTAGTATCAAGAAAAAATAATATTAATGAAAACAAAAAGAAATAATACCAAGTGTTTATTTTCAAATTAAATAAAAATATTGTTAAATCATAAACTCTCGATATAATAATAATCATATGTGAGATAACATGATCTTATACACATCAGATATCTCTCATAGTCATTAAGAACCGAAAATTGACCATCCAAAATAAGTACCGTAGACAAAATTCAAAGTTTGATGTTCTCGACTGTGTTAAACATCGTGTGTATATGAGCCCATGTAACGAAGCACACGTACACATTGACGTGACCCTCATGACCATGGTATTAGCCCCGTGCACAATGTCTGCTAATCTAACGTGTCAATCCACATTTTGCCGATCATGCATTTCACGTGTGGGTCGGAAGGGGTTCAGAACATTATTTCGTCACGTGGAACCAAAAATTACTGTGCATAATTTTATATTTGATTACACGACACAAGACTACCTTTGAAAAACAGCCTTTGTTTTCCACTGAGACATTATCTCGATTAGTCAACATCAAAAGAAAAAATAATACTGTATTAATATTTTACATACAATAGTCACCTAAAAAAATTATCATATTAGACTACACTACAGATACAATAATCCATACTGTACATATTATCTTACCTGGCAGTTTATAAAAGATAAACAGCTATACCCAAAAAATATTAAATTTAACCAACCATTTCACATGTTAAAAGCTTAAAAACATAGCCAAGCTGTATCAATTAATACTGTAGATTCGTGATGGCATAATGGCTTGTAAACTAAGTCTGGCCAACACTAGACAAAGCAGTGCAGATATCAGCCTTGGTCTGAGCTTAATGACAGTGTCCAAACACGGAGGATGTTCCCCTTGTCATGTATCGCGTGGTGGTGTCGCAACGTAAGCAGTGATGGCAAGGACACGTGACTCCAACCACAGGGCAAGACATACGGGAATGTAGTGTTGACTTGAGCGGTGTTGCTGTCATTGTTTGGCTGTTTCACGACACGAATTTTATGCCATGTTTACAATCGTAAAGGATGTTCTGTGGGATTTTTAAGGCCTACCGTTCTTCGAAATGAGGCATTCGTGGAACTTACTCGTTTCGGAAATGCATCAGGCTTGTAAGCACTGCACTTCCTGTGGCTTACTTTCGCTAATATTTACTTTACGGTCACTGATTTTCCTTTCACAAATGATGACAATGTAACTGAATCGGGTTACCTTCTAAACAATTCTCTGGAAAATAAGGTCACCAAAGTTTACCCTGACCGGCACAAACGAAGAGTGGCGAGGTGAGTGTGTGTCCAGGAGCTTAACCAAATACATATTGCACAATCCCTCGTGGACGTCGCCGACATCATGACGCGCGCCTGATGCCACTCAAAGCTAAACACAATCCAATTTCTGTACGTTGAATATCTTGCGGTTTCTAATAAAAGTTTTCCTCGGTTCTAGAGTATCAAGTGCGGACTGAGATATTGATTAGGGATTGGGTATTTCAGGAATTATACGAAGAGGAGCTTGAAATCAGTGACTTTACAAACGTCTCTCCAGAAGGTCTTGCGTTACTTCCCACGCCTTGTCCATTGTTTAATCTGACGCTTCCCCGTCGCTTGGTAATAGTACTTTCACGTTAAGAATATTTGCTTTTTCTCAAGAGGACATAATTCTTCCATATCCTCTGTACCCATGCGGTTACTAGTGACGGGTACAAGGTTCATCCCTGGAGATTTAAGCCTAGTCTTGCCAGTGTATAACAATTATACCATGGTAAGTTGCACTCTTCGTTTGCCATAAATGTTTGAATTCTCGAGGTGTGTGAAACGTTCTGGTGAGGACATACTGGGATAGGCAGTTCCATTCCAATAAATTATAATTAAGTTCCGGTGTTCTCATAGGCTGAAGGCCAATGGTTCACTGATGAGTGAAGTATAACGAAAACATCTCTACTAATACAGTCGAGTTTACTGAATCAATTTCTTGTCTTGTTAATATTGCTAAATAGTAAGTAATTTAATCACGAATACTTGATAAAAGGAAACAGAGATCAGATAAGAGGAACACGGTAGCGATCAGAAGGTCCTCCTAGAAGGGCATCCATCATGCACGTATGAAAGAAAGCCACAAAGCTTACCTAGACTAGCCTTACGGCCCTTACCGTAGCCTAACTTAACCTAATTTTATTTATTTTTTTTTTCACAGCAAAAAATACTTTCTTGCGATTTTTTTCCGAACACATCAAAAGTTGTGCACTTGAACTCGTGCAATTCTAATTGTATCGAAATCACTTTCTCTAGGCAATAAAAATGCCTTATATGTTATACATATAATTGAAGAAAAATGAGGATTGGACGCCTTTCCATTAAGATAATTAAGAAGAGGAAAACATGCTTAGCGGCCCCGCAAAATAGAAAAAAAAAAGGCCAGAGGTGGAGGGGGTCAAGGGAGTTTGGTCGGGTGTCGTGAGGGTGTTGCGTGTGTCCCGTTGGACCGGGTCACCTACGTCGTCTAAAATATTTCCAATCATTAAGTCTTACATGTCTAGACGTACGTGTTGGATAAGGCTGAAAGGGAAATCGTATAGTTCGCTAAAATTATCGGCTTGTGTTTTTTCGTGCACGTTTTTCACGTTTCTTTATAAATAAATAATCTATCCAGATGAAAGTTTTTCAAGGGTACTGTTTGTATTTCGTAAGTTATTCCATGACTAGATTTCACTTTCTAAGTCTGTTTATGAATATTTGTGCCCTTGAAAATAAGTCTTCTTCAAGGTTACAAACTGTAGTTTGCAATTAGATGCAAATTTCATAATATGAATACCGTAATTGTTAAGAACACGGAAGTTGAGATGAGTAGCCTCGCACTGGGCCTAAGTGGGGGTGAAGAGCCATTACCCGCGGCCTTGGGCACAGTGCTAATAAAAACAAATTACCCACAACTGAAAAAAAAAGTACACGTCACGTACATTGTGTGAGAGTAGCTGTGGATGAATGAGGAAATAAGTAACAGGTAAAAAACAAAAAACAAAAAACACTTAAGACTCTCCGTGAGAATATCAAGAGAGAGGAAGGAGTGTGTTTCTTTATGTAAATGTTAAATTATCCAATATTTTAGCAAGATGCTAAGAATACTTAAGTGTCATGATATGATCTATTGCCGTATGAATAAATATTATTATTTTATTGTAAATTGTAAGTGGAATAAAACCTATTTGTGTGCGTGTGTGTGTGTGTGTGTGTGTGTGAGGGGGTCAGGTACTAATTTTTAAGAAATGCACTATTTTTCTTCAGTAATGACCAGTCTAACAATCCTAACTATTTCTTCCCCAGATCCGTGACTTCCGGTTCCTGTGTCCCAACAACACGGTGTTTGATCAGCAAAACTTTATCTGTACCAACTGGTGGGATATAGACTGCCAGAGGTCCACGCGGTACTACAGCAAGAATGATTTGTTCCGTGTGGACGAAACCACTACGGAACAAGAATACGAATACGAGCAAACTTTTTCCACTTACTATGAGTATGTCTACGAGGAACTCGAAGATCCACAAGCGAGAAATAATCCCGACTACGAGTTCGAATATTACGATGGAGACGACAAACACAGAAATGACAACAGAGCGCGAAGCAGAAAAGGGAAGTCACAAGACAGCAGTACCACCAGTACCACGACAGCGGCACCCACGACAACTACTTCCACAACCACAACTACCACAACAACCACAACTCCTAAACCTACAACAACTACAACCACGACCCCAAGACCCACGACCACTCCTCAGCCCACTTTCAGAACTACTCCTCGTATAACAACGCTGCGACCATCTCTGCACTTCTCTTCAGGGTTTAGGGTGGGGAAGCCTGTGGTCAGTGTTACCAGCTCAACCTCAATCGCACATGAATCTACCTCGGCCGATACAAGGTTTTCGAGGTTTCAGTCACCAACCAGGTTCGAATCCTCATCAACAAGAACAGTCCGTCAAGAGACATTAAACGCTGAAGAAGTTGATGAACTCTACGATGGTGTGGAAGACCCTTTTGCTAACTATGACTGGCGTCGTGACGCCTCGGGTGTGACGGCTTCCACGAAGACTCGATATGAGCAACGATTTGGAACGAACAACCGATCCCGACAGACCCCTTCGGCTTTCTCCATCTCTCCCAGAAGCCAAGAGGAAACATCCACCACCCTTAAGAACAGAAAGTCCCTTGTGGATGCCAGTGAAAGCAGCAACGATGAGATCCCCAGAGAGAACCATGGTCGATATGTCAGTAGCAGAGGATCTTCCCGCGGCCCCAATAACGGCAGGTTACGACCATCATCACCAGATTCTGCTCTTGAAGAGTTTGCCAACTTCCGATATTATAAGACAGCCTTCGGTAACACTCCTTCAGCACCAACGTCTCCCACAATTACTCCATCATCACCTGGGGTTAGATCTCCCACCTCTATGTCAACGTCTGCAACCAGTTCTCCAGAAGACAGGTCCACATCTTCAGTCATATCGACATCTTCAAACGTTCGAGTTCGTCCAGCCGGTTACATCTCCGCCAGGTCAGCCTCAAGAAACACGAGATATGCGCTCTATGGCTAACAGCCTTTACTGGTGTAGAAATTAGAGAGGACTAAACCCATCTTCACCAGAAGAAAATAACGTGTGTTTGTATGTGTGTTTGTGTGTGTACTTTCACTGTGAATGTCATTAAAAACTAAGTCCTTGAATTTACATAACAATGTGCTGGACACTGAAATACACTTATATACTTATAATCTGGCTGGTCAGATTAAAGTGATACTGACATTCAATTTATCAGACTGCTCAATAGTTATAAATAAACCCCAATAATGTCTGGTGCTGACTTAAATAGCCCTATATGGGTAAGTTAAAATAGGGCCACTATTTTTTCAGTGGTATACGTGTGCGTGTCAACGCAGCAAAACTGTGCTATTTTTGTGGTATACCAGGGGGTGATACTGTGAACAACAAAAGTGGGAGCATAATACAAGTATCCTCGAGTGACGCAGACAGGCAATTCTGCGGAGTACGCCAAGATATGAAGACTAACCAGTGGAAAACAACATAATATATGAAAAAAAGTAGGAATCGTATGTCTGAAGACAAAATCCCAAATTAAGCAGCCATGTGCAGTCGGCCATTGATATGTTTCTTCGTATTATGGGAAGCCACTCGACACTCTTCACATTGCTAGGGTATGCCGAGGGCATCGTTCGTTAGTAGCGGATTTGTGGTGGAGTTCATCATGCATTATTTTGACAACATGGCACACCTGCATTGTTTTATTTTTTCAGTAAAACTTAACATCTTTACCTGATATTGTGTCCATATATGGTCATACAGTGTGGTAAAAATTTAGGTTTGCGTGGCCGCTGACGGCACAAAATAATGCTGATGAACGGTACTTAAGACATGTGATATAACTTAATATTAAGTTAAAGTTGACATTTGTATTTCTGAACTGAGATCCTTCAATAGACTGTCCTAATAACATTAATACTGAATTTACTGAGATCTTATTCACGTCTTTTTAACAGATTTTCCCCTCTATTGAAACAACTGCTGTATCTAGATAACTACGGTAATATCTGGATATTTTTAATAGTTTGTAAAATTTTACTCTGAAAACCATACTGGTATACAAATAAAGGGAATCTGGTATTATTCTGGACTACAGCTTAACAACAAGGAAATTTATTCCACTTGAGGATCACAGTTCCGAAATATTGGGTTAATACATGTATTCCACTTTGATGCCTCGTGTGTACCATAACAAGTATTACTGTGTTCCGTAGTGTGTGTGTGTAGTGCCGTAGTGTGTATACAATTGACCAATAATATAATATAAGATTTCCTTGTGCATTAGGTTTATAATGTCATACCAAACCGTAGGATAAAGACTTCCAACCGTTGATAGTACAAGTTATCCGTAGATGGTAGGATATTTCCAATGTCCTGTAATGATGGTATTGTTTGATTATTTCCGTTAAGGTGTTGCACATGTTGGGGAGTGTACTGATAACAGTGGCGTCACAGGGTCTTGACTCGGTGCTCTTAGAATGGATAATATTTCTCAAAATTTCCAGATTGATCACTCAATTAAGGTACACTACCTTTCATTAGTAACTATGGGTCGTCCAAGAATAAGGGCTATGGATTATTGCCATATATAAACTATAAAAATGTATGAGTTTTACAATAAACAAATTATAAAATGTTGATGCTGACAAGTACATAAATGGTTAATGATTTCTGTTATTCCCTGCCAGACTTAACCTTATGGTAGACAGTACGAGATCTGTGTTATCTTGTATTTCATTATAAATTTGATATGGAAACGTCACTGGTTATAAAAACAGATCATGATGTGAAGTTGGAGTCGTGTGGTCTCAAGGAAAAATCTGGTATTTTTTATTGCACTATATTAACTACATAATCTTGACAAAATGGTATTTAAGATAAAATTCGAGACGAATTGTGTTTATGAGCAAAGTGTGTTTACGTGTACCCGTGTGTGGTGATTGTTGACTCACTACCACTATGTATTATGTCGTCCCGGGCTCCACCAAGACCAACATCCCTTGCCCTGTGCAATAAATACCAGTTTAATAATTGAGTCTCTTTTATCCTTTCACAGGGTGTAACTAAAATACACTTGAGCAGATCCTCGGCAAGTCAGAGGGTAAACTGAAACCTTCGAAATAATGAACAAAGTTGTTTGGTAAGGATGTTGGGTAAGAAAAACAAACAAAACTGAAGTCAACTTTCAGACAATTTGCAGGAACTGACAGACCAACCCACTTCACTGGACTGATGATAGACCAGGAGATAGACTGAACAATAATACAAAGAATATGATAATAAAATTAGCATGTAAACAAATTTAATAATTCACAAACCTTTCTTTTACACTTGGAGTTCCATAAATTCATGCTATAAAATCCTAGTTCAAATAAGTCTGCAGAACGCTAACAGCCTAGTAATTGTTCCTGAATTATCGTGAGACAAAATAAAAGTACCTGTACTTAGTAAACTATTATGACACCTCGTTAAAAATTAATCGAGTCATCGTTCAAGGCTCTTTCTCCCTCTGAAGAATAAAAAAAAAAGTGCTGGTGTTCTTTTGAATGTGTAAAATTACGTGCGCAGCGTCCAAGCACCATGTATCAAACACCGCTTGAAAAAACAATACACACAAATATATATATATAGGTTATTAACTATTGTTTGGTGCATCATTTACCTGATCCCTTACCAGAATGTGTCCATTATTTTAAAAATGGACAAACAAGAACCAAAGCGGAAAAAAAATCACCCATTGTAATTACAGTCGTTACACCACCCGACCGATCGGGCTCCCAGTATAGCCAGTACAGGGTATAGCTCCCAGTACTCTATAGACAGTGTAATCTTCCATTGTCAGAATATTTAATGTAACATTTATAGCTTAATTAAGTTAATCGTTCATTTGCTGTCCGCAGGTTTCCGATTTTCAATATTACAGACCCCAGACTATAAAAAAAACCATACGACTGTAGCGTAGTGTATGTGGCCAGTTGTCTAATTTCTCTCTGTGTTTGTCTATTTTCTCTTTGTTAGGCCACTTTTCCTCTTCCAATAGGGTGTCCCTTATCTCTATGCTTAATCTTAATGCTTGTGGTCATCTTCCCTGTTTACATCACACTCCTGCCTATGACACAGAGCTCCTGCCTGGGAGCAGTGATCCCTCTCTTGGACGGGCGTCGGGCTCGTTGGGTTCTGCGCCCAGGTTACTTGTGTCTATAAGTTATGTCTAATTATGTGCTGCGGGCGGCAATGGTGACCAGACAGGTGAAGGGGGCGCAGGCGTTGTTTGCTGGGGGGAATGTGGTGTTTTTTTTGGCGGCTATATCCTCCAGCAGGTTAGGATAGATTTTTGTGTGTTTTATGGTGTTTTACTTAAACCTAACCGCCAATTTTGTGCAAATTAGCAGTTTATTACAAATGAAAATGTATAAAAACCTGAGGACACTCAATGGACTAATATTTACCTTTTTTTAAAGTACCTCACAACCCACCTGTGGGTCGTATAACAAGAAACGTGTTAATGCATTAATGGGTATATTAGGAGCGCAATTAGGAGGAACACAGCCTATTGAGTTTTCTTTTTACTTTAGTAGAGCACAAACAAGCACTGGTTTGTGTGTAAATCAAGGCAGCTGGCTGCGCTAATGCTAATAACGGTCCAGATAAGTCCCCGCAGTTATCTTCTATTCTGTAAAGGAAGACAGGACAAATATTACGTTACCCCGCTGTTTGTTCTGTTAGTACAATGTTATGGTTGGATCACTGGCAGTTACACGTGATCTTCGCATGATGGGGAGGAAGATTAAATGGAAAGCATAATACAGTACTGTACTAACAATTACGTGAAGCTCAAGTTTAGATAGATTAATTAAAATTAGGTTAGGTAGATTACTTAGTTCATTTTATGAACGATGAACTATATAATGCAACAATATCTGGTTTAACCAAATATTGCTACATTATATAGCACGCGCACAGGTAGGGCTTAAGGGGGGTTTGAGCCCCCTGCCCCTTTGTCCTGCCAGTTACAAAGTGCCCTCCTCGATGGTGTTTTTTTTTCAGTCGTCAGTAACAAGAGGGTAGGGTATCCATGTTGCTTTATTGTATATTAACTATATTTTCATGAAAAAATATATATATAAAATTCAAGGGACATCCATAGCAACTGCCTCAACGTGGCCCTCAAATAAATCAGATTTCAAAAACATTTCCCGAACCCCACAGCTGTAAAGGCTCGCCTCCTCCCTCAGGGGTGGTGTCCTTTTTGCTCACTCCCTTCCCCCCATCTGACAGATCCTGTGCATGACCCCGACAATACCTACAGGCTATACCTACTTTGGTAATTGGGGAAGTTCTCAGTCTCGCCACGCCCTTGATTTCAGGCCTTAAATACAAGATTATCATTCTTGTTTATATTTCACGGGTTTATATTATATGGGTTTGCAAATCTGCGCGGTGGATATAGAGGTACGGTTACCGTATTGACGGACTGTGTTGTTAATAGTATAGTTAGGTTAGATAGATTAGTAAAAAAGAAGGCCATCTTAGTAACTAACATTGTACAGTCAACCCACCACTCATGCGCATTAGGCTGCCGTACCTACAGTATATATCCTGTGCCGCAAATCTGTGGTCTAAGAAATACATAATTATCTCTGATCAATCGACTAACTGTATAACTAGCGGTAATCGCAATGTCTTTAATAATTAAACACATTAAATTAAATTAATTACTTTCTGTATGATTTCATTGAACACACGCAGTTTAGAATTACCACAAAAAAAATCTCAACTTACCTTTAATGTCTTATCAGTAGTCCAAAACAAACTAGGTAACAGCGCCATTTAATATTTCTTCTCACCATACGGTAAAGATTACCGTAAAGGGGTATTATAGTTCAAATTATAGGAAGACCTAGACACTCACAATTAACCAAATATCATAGACATAATTCTGTCAGCAAAAATCCTTTAAATTGTTTATAAATATATGTAAAACACTGGTACATTGCCACACACCCACATTTTCTTGGATTACAACAAGTACTGTCGTCGTAAATTGTGTTTATCCATATGGAGTAAGGGCAAGAGTAACCAAGGCTTCCCTACTATAGGAGCAAATACTATAATAAGAAAGACGGGAAAGCGTCTACCTTTACTAATAAAAAAAACGTGAACCACTGAGCACCGATCAACGCAATCTGTTGGCAATGCGGCCAACTAAAAGCCCGGGGCGAGTGAGCTTGTGTTTAATGTTTTCACGTTGCTATATATCATTGATCATATAGAATTTACTGTGTGATATTGTATGTGTGTGTGTGTGTGTGCACATTAAGAACGTCAAGGCAAAGACGTCAAGGTAATATTATTACTCACACGGCAAACTTCGAAGAACGATGTTTCTTTTAATGAATGTGCTGCTCATATAAGGAAAATGTGTGTATTAATTCACGATGAAGTTTACAACCACCTCAGATCGTAGCAAGCCTCAGAAAAAACAGAGTTAAGTTTGTTTCAGTGGCAATCAATACCTAGGCTAACAATATTATGACTTACCTGTTCCACCAGTATATTTATTATCTTGTGCTGCTTTTTTCTTCACTCTTTTCTTCACGTAAATCAGAAAACTTCCGCTTGACCTCTCAACAACATTGTGGGGTATTAGAGCCACAACATTCACTGCCTTTACTACTTCTTACCAAACATGATTCTTCACTTTGATTGTACATCTCGAGTCCAATTTCCCCCAAATTATTTTCTTTCTTTTGGCGACTTCACACACCATGGCGCACACTTCACACACCATGGCGCACACTTCACACACCATGGCGCACACTTCACACACCATGGCGCACACTTCACACACCATGGCGCACACTTCACACACCATGGCGCATACTTCACACACCATGGCGCACACTTCACACACCATGGCGCACACTTCACACACCATGGCGCACACTTCACACACCATGGCGCACACTTCACACACCATGGCGCATACTTCACACACCATGGCGCACACTTCACACACCATGGCGCATACTTCACACTCCATGACGCACACTTCACACACCATGGCGCACACTTCACACACCATGACGCACACTTCAGTCTCACTGAAATTTGGTCGTTTCTTCAGGTGGTTGTCCTTCCATCTTTTGTTTACAAACAAATATCACGTGCGTCGCTCTCAGCTGACTTCTTCTTCTCTTGTGATTGGTTGATGATTTTGTTAACTGAGCGCTGATTGGCCAACTAGCCCTGCACTGTCATCTACCTTCCGACAAGAGAACTGGGGGCAGAATTTTAAATACACTCAGTCTCACACATATGTATAGATACAGGACTTATATCTAAGACGGGATTGTGTAATGCATGTTAGAATTACAGCCTCTTTGAAATTCATTTCTTTTAAGTACAGGAAGCATAATATGTTGTCTAATGGTAGACCCTGCTGCCATATGACGTCAAAAAAAATTGTGACCAAGTCCCAGGTTGCTGATCTGACTTTCTGCCTCATTTACACACAATTGCAGTCTCAATTGTTTCTCTTACTTTGACAACACAACATACATACAGTATATAATTTCTCACTTTTGATAGTTTTTTATTTATTATTTATGGCTCTTTGTTATTATTTCTATTATTATTATTGTTTTTATTTTTTATTTTTTTATTTTCCTTTATACAGGGTAATTTTTATTTATTTTTATATATTTTTATTTATTTTTATTAATTTTATTATTATCATCTTTATTATTATTTTTATTTGTTATTTTTATAAATTGTATTATTTTCTTTTTATACGGGGTAATTATTTCTTTTTATAGATTTTAATTAATTTTATTATTATTATTATTATCACCACCATTATCATCATAACTATTATTATTATTTTATTATATTTTCGCCCCCCCCCCCAGGCCTTGATGCGGGTCATTAAAAATGACCTGTGCCCGGGTGGCTAATACCTGTTAAAAAAAAAAAAAAAAAAGAGAGAGAGAGAGAGAGACCTCAATCTTGAAGACACTTTAAATGTTAGAGAAACATCATAAAAATATATTATTCCTGTTTATTTGATTTTTATATACAAGTAGACAGTTATTATCTGCTTTGAGGAGTCTTTTAGTGTTTGTTGGTGTGAGCTTGGTTTTACTCCCGAGATGCCTTTTTAGCTGCCATGAGAAACTCCTTTGGAGGTTCGAATTTGTAAGCTGGAGTATCCTTTGGAAGAGCCATTTTCGTAGTAATTATGCTCCCAAGAGTTTCTTCTGGGTCTTGGTTGGGGTGGAAAGGTGTTTTGTTTTTCCTTACCATGAAAAAGCGCTTTCTTCAGCTGCATTTGCATGTGGTATTGTAAGAATCAGCTGCACCACCTGACTGAGAAGCGAGAATTGGGTGCTGCCATCCGTTTTGCTCCTGGTGGACAATTGTCCCCAAACAACATCCATGGAATGTAGACAAGGTTACCTGATTTAACAATATCTAGGTTCCATTCATTTTCTTAAAAACATCTTTAGCTGTAAATCCTTTGGTCATGCGTATGTCAAGCAACTGAGTACACACCCCATCTTGAGTGAAAATGCTCACCGTTTATGGGATAATTTTCAGTAGTCTTGTGTCGTTTGATCCATCAATTGGTAAAGAATATGGCTTTGATTTCATTTCTTCCACCAATTTTGATTTAAAATGCTGTTTAAGTGCCCTGTTCACAATTCTAGTGAGGGGCAGGTGTAGAAATCCTTGAAATTTTCGGTTTTACCCGTGAGACTGTGAGATAGACTTGAAATACGTGAGAGTTGACATGTCTGGGTATATGCAAAGAGCAACTGGCTTATAATGGGAAGTCCAAGCCGCTGAAGGAAAGGTGGGGGAGAAGAGAGAGGATTCGATGGGGGAGAGGAGATAAGAGGGTAGGCTAGGTGAGGTGGGTGGTCAAGGTGCTATTAGACACAAGAAGATCAAAGGGAGAGTCTGCTATAATGGCTACTGCCACCTGACCTAACCTGAAGTCACCTCACTTCACATGTCCTCTAGGTATGTGATCGCTTTGTCTCTCTCCACACCCACACCATACCCTCCACCCACACAACTCTTTTACTATGATTAATAATTAATTAATTAAAAAATGTAGTATTAGTTTGCATGTAATGAATCACAATTTTTTTTTAATTGTATTGGAGTAAAATTATAGAATACCATACTTAAGTAAAAGAAGAAGTTCTAAAAAATGTGCTTACTTAAACTGTATCTTTAATGCAAGTTTTAAAAATTTGGAACCATTTGATGCTATATTTTGTGGAGGGAACATGGGAGAACATTTGTTTCAGCAACAAGACTTCCTAAATGGCAGTAAATAAAGGGATAGTCTGTTTCCTGCAATAGTTACATTGTAGTAAAAAAAACTGCTAAGGAAAAAGATAGTAAGAGAGCCAAATGTTTGGGATGGCATAAAATCAACTTTATGTGTTTATTTACTTAAAGTCCCTGGGGCAGCCAAATAACAATAAAGTAAATGTTGTTTACTGTATTTAAGTGATTTGGGATTTCAGACTACCTGTAATTACCACAAAATGAGAAAGACAGCAATGTGGAAAAACTGGTTATGGCAAAAGGCATCTGCAAAACTAGTCTATTTTTGGAGAATTGTATTTTATTTACTATTATAAACAGCACTCACTAATCTATTTTACAAAGTTGATATGCCTAAAAAGACCACATAAGATCAATCAATAAGTCACAGTACATAAAATGTTACAAGAAACAATTATACTGTACTTCTAAGAGTGCCTATGACTGCACCTTGTAATCCTAAGATGAGGTAACTGAAAGAATGTTTGCTATTACACAATGTTTTCTCTTATAGAGGAAATAATCTGTGACCTGTGTGAGGTTTCAATGAAGTAAAAAATAACAACAGCTACGTTACTCTTCTCTAGACTTTGAATATGTTACATTAAAGTTGCTGTGAGATTCTATTATCAGTGCTCCAAACATTGCAACAGTATATAATAAGAGAATCCTCAAAATTCATAATAATGATAAAAAAGAAACATAAATCACAATTATATGCATAACACCGGTACATAAATACATTAGTTGTTCTATGAGTACATTTAAGTTTTCTTAGAGCTTACACATACACTGTAATATAAGAAGATACTGAACTATATCAAGGCATAATTTTACAACTTTATTTTGAGATGAGTGAGGTACAGTCTGCCTCAAATAAAAATTACTTAAAATAATAAAATATTGGCAATGTACTGACACATTAAATATAATTAAAAAATAAATAGCAAACTAATTACAAAGCTAAAAAAATAACAACATCAATATTTACAATTATGTACATGACAGAACTTATCCTTTGGCTATCCACAAAACATGATTATTGCACCAGACTCATTAACCTGAAAATTTGCTCAGATGTGTTATAAAAGAAGTTTGGCAGTAAATGGTAATTCTTGTTTACTCACAAGGAACATGGTATCATAACAACCAAGAACGGGGCTGGGGTTATTCTTCATCAGTTTTGCCAATGGTGATTTTTTTATGGTATAGTCAAAATGTTTTTGGCAATTTTTTTACTACAAATGGACTACTGTGTATTGGAATCAATCTTAATGATCTGTATTTTAGTTAGTTACCAGTGAACAGTACTAATTAAGATTGATGCCACAGAATTACATGAATAATTGGTAAAAGGATGATTACTTTTTTGTTTTTGGCAAATGCCTTGATAAAAAAATTCCAAGTGAGTCCCCTGAATATTGTTTCATCTCCTGAATGTTGTAGTGACTTAATAGTCTCCTCAATAAATATATTCCTGGAAGACCAAGTAATCAATACAAACCATATCTCAGAAAAAGAACTTCTGGATGTTACAAATTTTGATGGGATGGTCCTTGAGATATGTAGAGAAATACACCATGAATGAATGTCACAAGAATGGCTTTATTGCATGCATTGAGTACAACGAAGAAATGGAAAGAATATGCACAATTGACATAAAAAGTATGCATTTTCCTGTTGCAATTGAAATGCATGAAATGATCATTGCGATGACTTATTAGCATGAGTGTCCCATTGACATGGCACACATACACATTTTTGAGAGGAAGAACTTCTCAACATGCAATGCAACATGAACAATAGATCTTATTTTACGTGTAATGTATTAGATACTCGCCAAAAGTCAATTATCCTACAGTAAGTATGACCCAGGGTTTAGGCTTGTACAACTCCTCATACAACCTTCCTGTATCCTATGACACAACATACATCCACATACTGTATAAATCCCTACAAGAAAAACGACTAGAAAGTGATGAACTTTCTGTTCTCTGTTTAATAACTAAATCTGTTTGAGCTTATGAATTAATCAGGTAAAAATAAATACTTCATTCTAACTTAGAACTCTGAAATGAATATTAGAGCGTTTACCTCTGCATTTAAAAAATACAGTATATTTCACAAAATGACAAATTTAAATGAAAAATTGATTTAGATGAGGCAACATGGCTTAAATCACATGGCAACACAGCCACACTGCACAAGGGAAGCATCTGATTAGAGACACTTACAATAATTGAAGTACTTCCTGTACCTCAATATGTAATTTGAGTATTTATCAATTATTTAACAATTCTCTAGGGATGGTAATAATGTCTTCACAAATTACCATTTTCAAAAACCATCTACAGTATGTGCTTCAGCAAGTCTGTATATGCATTACACAGAACTCTTGTACACTGAGAAGCATTAATTGTGTAAACACGACATCAACTGTTGACGGATTAGCATTCAGCACATAATAAATATCAAGCACAAAGGTTGTTCTAATATACTGTAGTTCAGGTCAGTACTCCAAGAGGAACACAGTATTTGAAGAGTCTGGCATTTTTAATCACTAAAATATGTCCATTTGCTTTGGTATGACTTACTGTGGCGACTGATTTGTCTATGAATATGTGCAATATATGACTCCATTATATATAAGGAAGCTCAGCTATAGGAGCTGATATCATGGTGTACATAATTACATCTAGGGTTCCGCAGTCACACGTATCCTTATACACTGGTTTCTGAGTTCAGTCGGAGAACAAATTTGTTACTCTTTGGATGGATGATCTCCTCAGCGATTGAGAAATGTGGTATTTGGGACACAGAGCACAAAAGACACACATCAGCCTGGCGCAGCTGGAAAATGGTACCATTGTTTATAGGACGAGATAGAAGTTGATCACACACTAGACCCCAGGATTGAACACCTCGGTGCTCCTTGTCATTCTGTGAATGAGTAATCAAGTACAATATTAGTCTAAGCAACACATGTAATAATACAAACTTTTAAAATCTTACAGACAGTGAAGAAAAATGAGATGAAGAAATGATCCAATTATCATGACATAACTTGCATTTCTTCTTCCCTAAAAGCCTTTTCTTTGCAAATTTTCACAGTGTTTTGCTTCACCAAAGTTTACTGAGGTGATGGCCTATTTACTTCTTAATTAGGATTAGTTGAAGGGTCACCAAGTCCTAACAAGTTTTGCATGTCTGGGCCTTGCCTGCAACTGTATTGGCTCATAAAAAAATTAAGGGAGGATTAAGTTATGTAAAGGAGTACAATAATTTCACTCAAAATGACAATTCAAAATCATATACTGTACAGCAAATTTTATCATAATTTATCTGCTTTCTAAGAGTGTGGATTATGAGAAGAATCCCTATTAGCACAGAGAGCTGCAAGCAAATCCAGAACAAACTTATGGGTTAAATAAATTTTCTATACAGCATATTTTCACCAATTTTATGTCTGCATATTTAGCAGTTGAATAATGCTTAAATTAAATTACTGGATACCAAAGTAATGAGTGGCAATCTGTGTATAATTAATCTAAGCTGATAAAGACCATTAATTTACACATAAATCATAATTATTTGTGCACCTATTTCTGATTCACAACAGGAGTGGATCCAGGAATATCAGAGGGGGGGGTGGGGGGTGGGGTGGGGTCCAAGAAGTTGTGGGTGGGGGAACATGGTGAGCACAGCGAGCCCACCCAGCTTAAATAAGCCAATGTGTGTTAGTGTAATATGCTGGCAGTTGTTTTGAACAGTTGTGCCTCCCTGTTGATATATATGTATATATATCCAAATAACGGATTCCGTCTGATTAACAATATCGCTGTGGCTTAATTAGTCCGGTACTCGTTTTTTTTTTACTATATATTACATTCCTAGTCAGAACAAATTCAAACAAAACATTTATAAACTAATATTGTAAATTAACTGTGAATGTGTAACATTAAAGAATTCAAAAACATACCTGTAAAATGGGAGATGACACAAGATATTTTTCTAGGAATGCTCGAGGGCTCATGTCATGTGCTAAACACACAGCTAGATGATTGAGGATGGAGTCCATGGTATGTCTGGGCTGCTGCCTTGTGATACGCAGATACTTTTGCAAGGCTCGTGCCAAGGACGGGAATATGGACTGGGCAGCCTCATGGGGGTCCATTGGAGCACTAGGACCTGAAAATATAAAGTGGCTAATAAATGGCTAATGAATAAATAAAATTTCTTTAATATTATGCATGTTTGCAACTTTATTCTTTGTATATAGCCCACATTCAGATAACTTCAGCTGGAATATATAGGGCATAAAATACATCAATACATTACATGGTTTCACTCTGCATGGTTTCTGCACCACACATTACAACACCAAAATCTGGTTTACAACCCCACACACACACTGCTCGAATGGCAAACTTCCATTCTTTGACCAGCATAAAAATCAGAACAACCAATGAGCAATGTACTGTGGGAGTTTGTAAAGTTGCCTAGTTATTTAATATTTCTAAAATTAAAGTACGTAATGTATTAAATGAAGGCAAGGATCGGAAACAACAAAATGTCAATGGGATATAATGGCAGTCAAAGTTGTTATGCTTGTTGAAGATGGACAATCCTATCCTTTTAGCAAATTAAATATTCTTATGAAGTCTAAAGAGAATGAAATTGAAGGATAATTATGCTAGACAGAGGAAAGGTCTGATGTTTAAATGGAAGGAAAGTGAAAATACATGAAGAGAAAAGTATACTGTATATGGAAATATAGAAGTCATGGTTTTTCAATAGGGTTTCAATGGACCAATCAACTGAAATTACTGTTGAAAATTTTTAAATAAACAGATGACACATTACACATAATGTTATAACTTAAAACTAATAAAATAAAAATATTCTGGAGTACCTTGTTCCTCATGCATGCGTTTAATATGTGTGAAGGCTTCTTCAGCGGCAGTAATTAGTCTGGCCTTTCGTTTGCGTACTCTTCTTTCATATTCGTGTTCCTCGTAGAATCTCTCATTGTGTGCCGAGTCACGTCTTCGGGCACTTGCAGTTAAAACTGCACGTGTCTGTCCCTGAAATTACATTGCTTGGTTCAACAAAATATAAAAAGTTAGAAGCTTTCTGCCACAAGTCTCTGAATCACTGAGTGAGAAATAACACCAACCAATTTTGATGTAAAGGGGATGTCAGTCCTTAGCCCTGATGGCTATTAGGTGCAATGTGGATACCAAGCTGTGCCCGGCAGCCCAGCTTTGCCTGACCTAGGGGCTCAGCAATTGATTTTTCATGTTCATGTGCCTGACACCTGCCTGGCGGACAAGCAAATATTTTGAAAGGAAAATACAGTGTCAAGATGGAAATTTGGCAGGTGCTGCATGACACCACCTCCCTGTATATGTTTAACCAGGTAGGTCCGTCAATAGGCCACTTGTCATCATTGTACAAGGATTAGTGACTATGTCAGGTGCAGGTAATTTATCTCTACATTAAGCTGCCAACTAGTCAATCAGTTTCAAGTTGCAACATCTTAAAGAAACCACCAAGTCGAGAGGCTGTAGACGAGAGGTGACCGGAGTTATGACCTCACATGACAAGTGTTGCTGCCATTGACACTAGATTGTTGGGGAAGGGAAGAGGGGAGTAGTACTGTAGTTAGGGTAGGTGATCACATCCTGCAGGTGTGAAATGAGGTGACACGAGTTATGACATCACATGACACCATTTAGATGGACACAAGGGATCTATGAGTTGAAACAAATTTGGATGTTTTAAGATATTTAATTTACGTTTTGGTAATGGTGGAGCAGATGGTTAGTACCAGAAGGACTTTATGGACTTAAAATTTTTTCAGGAGATGTTGTTTGGATGATACTAAGTAAGAAAATTGAAATGACAATGCACAGAACCTATTAAAATCTGACCTAACCTCACCTAACTTCCTAACCTGTGCAGTGTCGTTTCGGTTTTCTTAGTATCATTCAAACAACATCTCTAGACAATATGAAGCAATTCAATCCACCCGATGATACCGTTGTTCATTTCTTAACATGTAAACAAAGACCGTATATATGACAATGTGAACCAAAACATGGTCGCCACGGGAGATCCGACGGCGCCATAATTACCATAAAAAATTTATTTATTTGCCTACAAAGTACATAGAGACGTGAAATCATTGTCACATGGTCAGTGTTCGCAGTGTTTTTACTCTGTTATTTCCCTCCTCTTTCATGCCCTGCCCACTAACAAATAATTTACCAACTTTTCCCATGCAAAAATCTGGGCAAGCATATTTCCTGAATATATTTGTCAAGGCAAGTAAAAATAATATCTGGGCATGTAAATTTCAAATGTTATTTGCCCAGTACAAGTACATGTTTTAAAAAAGCTGCACAGGCTGAGTTAGATATAGGTGTAGGCAGCAAACTGGGTCCTTTATTTTATCTTTTTAAGTGTACAAGGAAGTTGTGTGGCCAGCACTGCACTCAAATGCCTTCACTTCTGCAACTGTAAGTTAGGAGCCAACTTAAAGGTAGGTAGACTGGGATATCTCCTGGCATAAACCAGTTACCCTTAGGACAAGAATGCAAACATATGTCTCTACTTGGTTGTTAGATCCCTCAAATAGCTATACACCCTGTACAGTATTTAACTACAGTATATTAATAAAATATCATAAAAGAAAGCTGTGTAAGCAAGAAACACCTTAATGGAGAAGTACACATTATGGTACAGTATTATATTATACCAAGAGCAAAAGTCCATTAATTCTGGAGTATTTATGTAATATCATACCTTGATAGTCAATAAGAAAAATGAATATTATTCCACTCCAAAACAATTGTCATTTACAAAAATCATTGTTGAAGGCAGAGACAACATACCTATGTCCATTCTTGTACAAAAAAAAAAAAAAAACCACCAACCTCATTATTTTCCTCATTGCCATCAACATCGTAATATTTAAAAGATGAGTTGACCGAATTCTTTTTCTTGGAAGGCACACGATCCAAATAAGGGTTGTAGATGGTGAAATCTTGGTAGTACTTCTCTAGGACCCATGCAGCTGCCCGTTGTACACTCAGCTGGCCAATATTGTACCACCTAAAACAAAATAACACAATCAACTAGGAGCACCGGTATGTAGGAATTAATTAAAAATATGTCAAAAGGCATCATGTACAATTTTAATCTTAGCCAAATTCTAAACAAAAATACATAGAAGTAATTATTTTGTAATGTTAATGGAAAAAATGCCTGCTACATTTTAATACAATCCCTAAATGTCAATTCCTAATGCAACTTCATTCTTATTTTTCTTATATTATTTTTTCCTTGAGAACAACAATCATCAAACTCTTTAACTCATTTCTTAAATTTTTTCACGTGGATTCTCATTACTCATAGTAAAGTCAAGTCCCCGGGTTACGTATATGTGACTTACATATATTGGCAGATACGAATGAGGTCCCATAAATTTACACTTTAAATTATTATTTTTTTTTTTTTACGGGGATTAGTCCACCCGGGCACATTAGACAACACATTATGTCTCCCCAGGGCGTCTACTGGCCAGACAAAAAAAAAAAAATACAAAATTCTCTGCCTTTTCCAAGTTTTTCAGGTGTAAATTGGAAAAATTCCAGGTATATAAATTCAATATTTACTATGACAGAATAACGATATTAGAGGTTTTCAAAAAATAAGTATATATTATTGAGAAATTTAAAGATGATATATGATATTAATCAAGAAATTGAAGGCCCTTTTGGGACCCACCCCAAGCCTAATGATGAACCCCCCTCCATATTTTTCTCCTCTGAATTACGTGATTCACATGGGTCGACCTGGACGTTCCAAGAAAGCCGGATATCTGGCAAAACCGAAAAATCACACTCTTGATCCACCTATATGACTTAAAAATATGTGGAATAATCCACCTAAATAAAGTCACTTACTTATAAGAACAATTCATCTCTGACAACAATCATTACAAAATTAGTTGGTATAACCTGCATTATTTAGTTATTTGATCACTAACATGACATATGATAGGTACACATAATTCAGTTATTGAAGTGGACTATTTACTGGAATTTGTTCCTAAAAGTTTAATTATTTACTTATAATATAGTACATCATTAATCTATGGTAAGATTGGTGTCAAAATACAGTAACAATATTTTGAAGCTGAACTGAATTCACATAAAATTCCAGGTTTAGTTGTGAAAATCCCTGCCTTTCCCAGGTTTTCCAGACTAGTAAACATCCTGCTTCCTGTTTGATAACTACCAATTACCTTTACCTGATGACTTATTTTTTACTTTTATTTACTGTACTATTTTGTTCTCCTTTTCTCTTAAATTAAGTGATTGTAGATGTATATATGGAATTAGGCTATAATATAGTGGGATTTTAAACATGTTCTGTAAGCATGGTATGCACATGGGGTATGTTTCGACTCAAGTATATTTTTGACTTAAGAACGTAAGTAGGAACAGAAAACGTATGTAACCCGGGGACTGCCTATGAATTTGGCAACTATTTGGCTAAGTGACAGTTAAACCAAAAATATGACTTTAAAGCAAAAATACAATGAAAGGTGAATCCCATTCAGGGGCATGAAATTTTAAAGGTTTATATGTTCGATTTTTCCCTAACTGGCAATAAGAAAATGCATCTGAACATATGAGTTTCTTTAAATAGAATTGTTGCCTAAAGCAGGGGCATAAGTGTCAATCATGTTTTGAGATATCAGTCATTTTTGGGGACTCAGGAAATTGGTTTTCTAATCTAACTCTTGCAGGATTCAATTAAGCTGTGGGTGTTAAACATCTAACAATCAACGGAGAATTGAAAACAGAAAATGGAAAAACCCTTCTCTCAAATTTGCATATTTGGCTCTTTTGGCAACGCCTCAATTGTGGACAACATTTTGCCTACCATCCTTTTGGCCCTCGGATGTCCTTATATCCACAGTTATGAGAGAAAAACTAAATGCTGTGTGTGTCCTTACACCTACAGTTCAATGAGCAATATATCCCCAAACACCCCATTATGAACCTAAAGTGCATGCTTTAAACTTGCACAACACTTCACATACTGTACTGTATGTAAAAATTTCATGAAATACAAATCCCTCCAAGCCATTATTCCCTTTGAAACATGCCTTATATCTTATTATTTAAAAGATCTTATGGGAACCAATATCCCTGTTAAGATTTAAGAGAACCACAGAACAGCTTGAAGAAGTGGATAGTATGCCTGTGAGTCCATAATATCATATGAACACATTTGGTGGATACAATTACCATACAAATCTATGAGAACTTTTGTCATGATCTACAATGCTAAATTGATGAGGTTATGGTAGTTTTGGTATTCAGATTCTTATTTTGAACGTGGAAAATTGGACATAAATTTTTTACATAGTTGAATCATTTACTGTTTAATGAAGGTTCCTCTAAAAGTGAGTGGTCCTATTAAAGGGTATATATACTCTAAATTTTGATTCAATGCATATCACTTGCTTGGGTTCTATCAAAGATCTATAAACTGCAAACACTTCTCAAGGACAGGGACAAGTAAATATTAATGTCTTACCTGCTTTCCCCATCTGGAGACCTGAGGACCTTAACTGAATACTGTGGAGTAAGGTGTCTCAACTCCAGAAGGATCACAGCTAGGTAGTGGATAAACAGCAGTGCATCCACTAGGCTCACCGCAAAGTATACAATTGATCGATAACGTACCTGCAGAGTCAAAACACATTATATTGGGCTGGCTTATCCATTTAAATTTTTAGTAAACTTGATATGAATAAAACTTGTGAACATTTTAAAATACATATTTTTTGATCATAGCATAAAAATTAATATGTATGTGTTTGTAAATGTTCATGGACATCTAAATTATATGATTGGTCACATACAACGGTATAAATAATTGAATAAAAATGTGAAAAATCTAAAACCAAATTTTACATCAGAATAGGATACAGAACTAAGTACTGCACCAGTAATCTTTGAAGATCTGAAAACTTTAAATACAGTACAATAATTGTAACTTTATGCCAGTACTTAGTGTTAGTGGAGATAGTTTATTAACCCATTGGATACTAGGGGTCTCTCTGTGCTGAATAAAATCATTTGACATAAGCTGAATAAAGTAGGCATTAGCTAAATAAAATAGTAAGGTATTAGCTAAATAAAATAGTAAAAGTGACATCCAGTAGGAAAGGGGTTAAGTAAATAAGCTTAAGAATGGTAAGGCTCCAGAAGTGGATGAAATCACAGGAAATATTAAGAGTGGGAGATGGTAATGTGATGAACAAAGAGCACAATTTTACATGGCAGACAGAACAACACCAAAAGAAAGGCAGAGTATTATTTAGAGATTCGTTGCAAAAGTAAAGGGCAGATTAAGGAAATGGAGTGTATGTGTGTTCAGGAAAGGAAGAAAATGCGTGGATCTGGTGTTAGCACTGAGGAACATGAGAGAAGAGTTTTTGGAGAAGGGAAAATTTTTTTAATGCATTCATTTATCTACAAAAAGAATGAGAATGTTGTTATAGGTGTTCAATATTTTCATGGATGGGGAATTGAGAGAGTTGAAAGCAAGAGTACTGGAGTGGGGAGCCAGTATGGTACATAGGATAAAAGGTGTTAATGGGAGGTGAACCAGCTACTTCTTGCTGATAATAGTGACCTTGTGGGCACTTGAGAAGAAAAGTTACAGATGTTAGTGAACAAGTTTGAAAGTGTGTGAGTGTACAAGGAGGCAGTTTCTAGTGATTGTGAACAAAAGCAAAGTGATGGAAATAAGTAGAAAAGGGAAACAAGGGGGAATAAATGTTAGAATGGAGGTGGAATGGCAGATATTTCATGTTCCAGATACCTGAGAGAAAGTAAAATGCAACACTGGAGGATGAACTGAATTACAGAGCAGCAGAGGGAAAGAGATCAATGCACAAAGAAATGTATGAAGAGACAACACATCCAATGGAAGCAAAGTTGGGAATGTAAACAGGAATTGTTTTAACATGAGCGTTAAGACTCACTTCATCCTTGTTCTCCAGGATCCTCACAACGTAGAACAACCAGTAAGAGAAGGTGAAGACGAAGATGAGCATAGTCACTAATGCTCTGAAGATAAATATTCTGGGCATAGTAGCCTTTGGTTGCCTGCAAGTAAAAATAAAAAGGCAATCAACTTAAGTGCAACTTGCAACAAATATAAAAAATAATATTTCTTGAAGCATCAGGGTCTGTTGATTTAAATATAATAAAAAAAAATGTGATTTAGATTTAGCAGCAATACAAGTGACAAAGGTTAATGCTAAGAAACAGAGATATACTGCAATATGATTCCATGTGCCTCATATAATACCTTTAGGAACTTGTAGCAAGAGTAAAAATGCATACCCAGAGGTGGCTATGCTGGGGGAAGGAGGCAAGGCTTTGAACATCTTTCTAACCTCTTTTAAAATACAAAATATGAGGATTCAAAAAAAAATAATAATAAATAAATAAAACAATCGTCCTATACGTACAACAACTGGCCAAGAGCCACAAAATTCCTACATTAAATGTATTTGGTTTTAATATGGATATTACACTGTAGTAGTGAGGTATGCATTCTAACTTTAACAGGAGGAAAATTTCTAGTGTATTTCAGTTTCTTTGATAATAAAAATGCATTTTAAAAGATTATTACAGGAAATTGCATGCTAGAAAGTTTAACAAGAAATAACTAGCTTTTTAAATATGGCCGGTCTGTTGCTCCAAGAAAAAAGCGGATTACAGTAAAGGTTTCTCCCACACACAGTTGTCATACAACAAATAAGACATTTAATCCATTTTATTGCAATGGAATAAATCTACTGGTCTAGGGATTTAAGATTGAAATAACTCGAGTAGTCCTGCAAAATCTTAGCTGCCCTGCACTAGGGTTGTGTACCATGAAACCTCCCCCCCTTTGGGTTTGAATCCATATATGAAACCTCAAGCACCATCTCTCTACTGGGCCCTGATATGATCTACCCTGAGGAACAATGTCTGGGTAGTGTTATCCCTCTGTGTATGGGCACCCCTCTAAACTGAATAAAATATTAAAAGTGACATCCCTTTAATGAAGGAGTTAACCATAAGTTCGTCATATATTCATGCTTACAAACTTAAAAATCTCACCTGAAGAAGAGTGCCCATGATCCTAGGAGTAAAATGAGAAGCTTGAAGGAGAAACTGATGAGTAGACCATCACACTCTGAGTCACACTTGAGGTGGTCACTCTTCAATTTGATTACATTCAGTCGAGGGATCAACACCATAGCAATGGGGCTGAAAAAATATACAAGATTATTATCACTACAGGTATAAGCAACAATTCTTCACATTATAATCATTCTTGTTTTATGCAATCAAGGAATGATTGAATACTAAATAACATCTCTGTAAGTCATATCTCAGCTCCAACTACAAGGAATAGGATCAGTGTACTTAGCCATACAAGAAGCTAAATCCATGACCCAATCTAAGAAACAAGATGCAAATGTCAATACAGTAACTGAATTAAAAGCATTATTGAAGCCATGGGGATGTATAATCATATTAAAGAAAATCCCTGATGAATTAATACTGCATTTATCTACTTTATTACCACTTTGGGCAACTGTTAATGATGGAGACGTGGGATATTTTTCTTACCGGGTAAATCAAGTCAAAGTCATTAATTACACAACCACAAGCAAACATTATAATTCAACTGTAACAACCAAGAAAAACAAGCATATGCTTGTAACTGTATTCTGTTACAGTACGTACTAAAAAAAATTCAAATACTACCCTGTATTGTACAGTATTGTCTTAATTAAAGCTCAAAACTTGTACAGGTATTCAGCAGCAGCACAGGTAATAATATGCATATTATCAATTACACGAACTAGAACTATTATTCCTATTATTATACAGTACATAACTTCAAAGGAAAATGCAAACCCCATTCATTCTTAACAAAATACTTATGTATTGTAATGCATTTCAGACATCAATCACTCTCTGGAGAAATTTAAGTAGTATGTAATATTTTTTTATCGAATTATAATACAGGTACTTTTAGAGACTAAATAAAATATTTGACACAAGTGGATTTCAATGTCTAAAACATGTGAAACAATTACCACTGTATTACCTGAGAAATGCTAGGAGGGCGACCAGCGCACATAGAGCTGACCCAGCATAACGTTGACATGTGAATGTTATGCCTGTTTCTTGCTCACGTCCAATAATAGTAACATCCTGCAAGAATTACAGCATATTAGCATAATAACATGATGACATAACAGGTACAAAATACAAATCATTATTTATTAGTATAAGATGGAGAGAAAATAATTGACATTGTTTCACCATTATAAAAATGAACATACAACTGTAGCATATCTCATACACTAAAGATAAATACTGAATATTTTGACAGTACAGTACTGTACAGTAGGCCTACAATACTTCCACACAATAAAATCTATTTGGAATCTATACAATGAAACTGCAAAAAGTAATTTATCATTGAGAAAGTGACTGTAGATTAGATCTCCCCTCAGCACTTATAAAATAAGTGACTGTAATTATGACTACTTTAATAAAACACACCAAAGCATAACACAATGGTTGGTAGAGTACATTACAGCAACCCAAGGAAGACTCATTAACAAATATTTATCGATCATTATAGCAGGAGCAATACAGTCAACAAAACCATAAACGGGAGACACTGGTAAAGTACTTACTTGGAAAGACTCTGAGCGTACAGAGGTGTTGCCAGTGATGGCTGTAGTATTATCGCCCCAGTTGTCATCCTGGGGCAGGATCTGTACCTCAATTACTTCCCCCCCCATCCCACCATCTCCACCTACGCCGGCTGTCATCTCACTGACCCGCCTGTGGATAGCCAATACAGTACATCAGTAAGTGTGGACATCTCATTTCTGTATGCTGTGTGCGTGTGGTGTACTGTATATTACGAGACAGAAGCATGTTTGTGCACTGATGGATGGGTCCAGTGTATATATACAGGCTGTGTGTGTGTGTGGTGTGTGTTTTAAGTGTGTGTAACCTATACTGTATAATGTAAACTGTAAATAGTAAACCTTGTGCCCAGTAATCAATCAATTATCTGATGACATTTAACTAGTCAAGCATAAGAGATTTCTCCCTTCATTACTAACATTTTTTTTTTATAAACACAATATTAGAGACAAACGGGAATTTTCACACTGCAATACATACAAGGGAAAAAGTCTAACAAAGTACATTATGACAAATTGGTGTAAATCGAAAGTTGCGAATTCGTATTCAGGGACAAATTGTTGGAGCTTCCAATAACTTGATGACATAAACCATTGACTCTTCAGGCTTCTATGCCCTTGACGCTTCAGGCTTCTACGCCCTTAACTCATGAGACATAAAGGCAAGCATGAACTTAGCATGCTTCCCTGTTGGGCACTGTAAACGCTTCTGCGCTTCACCTTACACAATGATGTAGGGGAGTGCCCAATAAATAATAAAAAATAAAAAATAAAAATAAAAAATTATGACAAATTTGTAAATTGGTTATAAAGAAGTGATGAACGATGGATATTTTAAGTGTTCACTCTTAGTACTGCAGCTACACTTTTGCCACCATTTTTATTCTACATTGTGATGGGTGAAAGAGAGGTACACAAGAGGGTGATCCCTGACAACATGACCTATTCTAAACCTCAACTTGCCAAGGTCACCAAGGAATTTACACATCAGCCAAGGGCATGGAATCAAATGTCAAAGAAACGTTGAGACAGGGTTGGCATTTTTTCTGCTTGTGTGAATATTTTAGAGGTACCGTACAGTAATTGGGACAAGACAGAGGGATATAGTTTTATTATAAGTACAGGTATTGTTCCAACAAACAACGGATTTCAATCACATATTACAATAAACTGAGTTTGCCTACCTTCCTCTCTTGTGCTGTGGTCGAGCATTGACGTTCCTGAGAGCGACAAAGGATGTCTTGTGCCTTGGGTGGTGATGCTGATACTGCTGTTGCTGTTGTTGGTACTGCTGAACACCGTGAGGGTGTCGCTGGAGGGAAGCGTAGATACTAGCGTCTGTGAAGCCCGATACAACGGAATCCTGGTCAGGTGTCCAAGCCCCCGCTGCCGCATACGAAGAGCCGGGAGCCACTGAGAAGGACATAGAAACGCGGTCTCTTCTGAGGAGTGGAGTGGCGGGGGGCGCGGCAAATTGACTTTTGCATATAGGAGGAGGAGGAGGATCACGGGGGGCCCACGAGTCCGCCTTGTAGCGCACCTTGACTGTGGCCTGGCACCCTTATGCGATATCCTCACTCTTCACAAGTTACACACACAAGCTCCCCTTATTTCTTTAAACACTTATAAATTGTAACGTTCACAATCACAACTCAAATGTGTCTCATTTATTAGCGAGAAAAATTTGAGTAAGTTTTTATATGTATCTTTTGAATTTTATCTTTTGGTTGCTATTAAATAAATCACAATATAACTTGCAATGTGTTTTTCTTTTTGGCATCAAATGTTATATTTGTTTTTCAATGTATTGGTCCCTCAATTGACTCCAAGCACACTCGGGTATAACACTTCCCAGCTGGTCCACAGGCTGTGCCAGCACGTGGTCGATGAAGGAGAGGTCGTCTGGCAGCACGTCGTAATGGTCGCCTCGTATCACGTGCACGGCCCGTCCACACCGCCTCCTGCTCCCCCAGTCACCTGTAATTCACAGAACACATTAATTTTTTTTTTTTAGGAAAATAGATAATGTATAATGATACCAATCTTTTTATTCTAATAAAGGTAAGAATAACAATAGGGCATTGTAAGAAGTGTCGGCTAACCCAGAAACATCCAAAACAACAACATTCTCTTTAAAAAAAAAGTATCCAGAAAAGAGTTCACTTACTGTAAAAATGAACATAGCAAAAGCTGGAAAAAAATAATAGAAAAGATTCTAGTGAATATTCCAAAATCCTTTTTCATGGGGCTGACACGACAGAACGCAGAGGATAAACGGCCAGACCACGTGAGGACCTGAAGTGCGGTGAGAGACAACAATCTCTGTCCACACACACACATCTTTCAACAACACTCCAGACCAGAAAACACAAGAATAAGTCAAAACCCCAGAGTGAACATGTTTACTAAACAAGTACTAACTCACTCCACAGTAAATATAACGATATAATGTCATACATACATATCAATATATTATCCAGTAGCGAATAATCATTGCATTATGAAGCATAATAACAAAAGTACCCGAAAAACGAACATGCGAAATTCACTTTGTGCAGTTTCCTGGTTTACTCAGAATTCCCTTCAGCCACAATACTTGGAGTCTACTTAGAGGTGCTTCCTGGACCTCTTCTACCCACTACACTCACGCCTACAGTGTAGGATTTGTTATCCCTGAATAGAAGTAAAGTGCATAACGTGTATGTCTTCGGATCCTCCCCAGACTCGCACTACCTGGTGTTAGGGCCCTCTTTTACACCTCTGTAGCCCCAAATACTGTGTGATAAAGACGTGTCATTCTTATGAGTATTATTAAGTTATGGTAATGCGTGACCTTTGTATCCACCTCGCCAAATGATGAAGGTCAAGTTACATCGTCAATAGGGAAATTCATCTCATACTTTATTCACCCCTAGCCTCAACAACAAATACCTATTCTTTTATTGTTTATTAGTTTATTTGTCTTCGTGAATGTTTATGTGGGGTTACGTTCTTTCTTTGTAAACAATATATTACCCCTGCACCCGTGTAAATAATCAGAGGTATATTGTTTCAAAATATACCTCCACTCCGGGTATTTCATCTCAACCTCCTCCATTCCTCTCACTTAACGCCCTCATTTTAAACCTCCACACCTGGCCTGTTAACACAAACTTGGTTAATTAAGCCACTCTATCTGAGACCCACCAAACAAAGTAACACTTTACCCTGTTATCTACAACAAAATTTAACCCAGCCCAGCGAAATTGGACACGTTTATGTATTACTGTCTCGTAAATACATTTTCTGGACTGTGGTGGAAGATTCGTATGATAACCAAATTATTTCGTTGTGATATAATTTTTTGAGATGTGTTATCACTCTGAGTGTGAGGTAAAATGTTATCACTTAATGATACTATCACTCTAGGGTGTTCTAAGATGGTATCAGTTTAAGTTGTGTCACGATGTTAGCTATCACTTTGTGTTACGACTTTAAAATACTGCACTATGCTATTATTTAAGAGTGCACTATAGACACTTGTGTTGTGGTGTTATCACTTTAGTACTGTACTTATCACTTAATAATATTCTTAAAATATTATCACTTAAAAGACGTTAAGTAACTGTCCCATTCATTGCAATACTCCTTCCTTATTAATGCTCGAATGCTGTTTTGTTCTTGCTAATCTGTCTATGTTTAGCCACTCCCAGCCAACCATCTAGTACCAGTTATAACAATACCTCTGCACCACCTACTTTGGACTAATCCACTCTGGGGGCAACCACTCACTTACCCACCCACCAGCCACTATGGCAAGCACTATGAATCAAACCCTCCTGGCTAATCCACTTCCCTAAGCTAACACTCCGGATTAGTAACACTACACCAGCCTCTGAGAAGCCTAACCACTCGAGGGTAGAACTATTCATGGTGAACCATTTGAATTAACCACTATGGACGAAAATTTATGGATTAACACCTTTTGGAAGAACCACTTTGGACCAAACACTCGTTAGCAACATCAGTGGGGGGTTAATCAATATGAAGGAGCCACTTTGGACCAATGGAAGTATATGGGAGATAGAGAGCGACCCCTGTGGTGATTGTCCTCCACCCCTCCACCCTCTCGTATCACCCCGTTCCCCTCCACCCTCTCGTGTCACCTCCCCCTCCACCCTCTAGTGTCACCTCCTCCACCCCCCCCCCTCTACCTGACTCATCACGTGAGGGACATCAAAGCTCGCTCCCCTCTTCCTCTTTTATAAATATCCTCTCATCCTTCTCCCTCCTCTTTCCCAACCTTCACTCCCCTTTCCTTCTCCCTATCTACCTTCTCACACCCTTCATAGCCACTCTCACGCTCATCATCCATATTTATTCTATTTCATCTGTTCTTAATGTTTCTTTCTCAACCGTCCTTTATCTTTTCCCTTCCCTCTCACGTTTTCTTTTACTCCCACCTCACCCATTCTCCCCACCCCCCCCCTTACCCACTCATTTTCTCCTCTTACCCCTCACTCCACCCACACACACTCCCTTTAACCCTCACTCCACCCACACACACACACTCCCTTTACTCCTACTCACACTCCCCATCCCCTACTCCATCCACTCACGCTCTCCCACTCCACCCTGCACTCACAGCTTATCGTACCCCTGAGGACCACTACTCCCACTAACACCACTCTCTATTATAATCACTCACCTAACACAGGCCAAAACGATAAGAGGATAAGTAGTATTCTTCAGCTGGGGTTAAAACACGTGTTGAGGCGGTAGGTGATTGTCTCAAGTACCCTCCCCTGTGTGTACTGGCATCCAAGGAAGGTTAAGTATGTTGTCGCCGGAGAGGTACGGGGGGGTAGTGAGTGGGGGGGATAGGGGATGGGGTGGTAAGGGTAGGGGAGGGTGGTAGGGAGACGGGTGGTAGGGGGAGTCAATCTTGCAACAATTGGGCGACATGGTTGGTGTTTATAAATGTGGTCACTATATAGGAAATATTGTGTTGGTCTTCTATACCTAAATATAAGATCACCTTACGATTTGTCCTCCTCCACACAGCATATTTCACTTGAAGGTTAACCACCCTAATGCTAACTGAGAAATGCAGAGAGACCTGGCAGTTGTAGCATTAGTAAATATGACAAATTTTGTGACGAGAGGTACCGGTATGGCCAGCATAACGACAGAACCCGACAATGTGATGTAGTCGTGGCCAGAATTAAGCTAGAATACAGACACATCTAGCAAGTTAGTAACGCTGTACCCATACCGGAACACTCAGCATGTAAACTTTGTGATAAACCTTTAAAGCATACACATGAACACTATATTATTGAATGTGACACTCAAAGACTTCAGGCCACCTGGCTTATTGTATTATGAACTTTGTAATTACTACATTGAATCGGGGGTGCTTGGGGACATTCTTGCTGTTTATCCCAAATTTGTTAGCCCACACTGATTAGTCTTCAATTAGAATATGACGTCCAATGTATGTGAACCACTGTCTTGCATGGCAGCGAACAGTGACATCACCCACATGACTCTGACCTATATATACTGCTAATGAATATGATTCATTTCTTTGTGTACGAACCTTTGTCCTGCATGGCAGTGAACAGTGACATTACCCACATGACTCTGACCTATATATAGCTGTTAATGAATATGATGTATTTCATTGTGTATGAACCTCTGTCCTACGTGGTAGTGAGAAGTGACACCACCCTCAGTGTCAAGACCTGACTGAATTACTCAGTATAGGCAAACTGTATTCCAAGCTTTGTCAATAAATTTGTTAAACTAAAACAAAAAAACCCTTACCTAACCTGATCTAACCCAAATATATCACCTGGAGATTGCCCCCCCCCCCAGTTTATTTAACTTAAACAATAACCACCCTAATGGTAACCTCAACTTAGCCCCAGGTAACGCTAGGGTGGTTACTCATCAGGTGAAATAAGCTGGGGTGCCTAATTCTTCAAGTTATTCTAAATACACATAGTATTTGGATTCAAGTATATCTCTATAACTATACCCTATTCTGTACTTGTGTTAGTCTTTCAATTACACGAGATAAGGTGTGTGTGTGTGAAGACACCTGAAAAAGTATCAAATCGACCCCTTCACCTGGGAGACGATTACTCCACACTATAACTCTTGGAGGAGCACCACACAAGGAGGTGTCAATACTTTCGAGTTAGCCCGACTGCATACCAAGGCAGACAGCGCCAACGCCGGAAAGACGCTGCCGCCGCTCCTCCCGCACTAGATGTAGCCTCCCACACGTGTAACATTTGTGGACGGCCCTGCCGGTCCCGTATCGGCCACTCGAATCACCCCAAAGCTCACCAACGAAGGTGACATCCTTAATAATTCATATCAATGTATAATAGCTGGATGATCGTCATACTCGATTCCAAGTGACAGCAAAGAAATAGTAGTAGTAGTAGTAGTAGTAGTAGTAGTAGTAGTAGTAGTAGTAGTAGTAGTAGTAGTAGTAGTAGTAGTAGTAGTAGTGTGTGTGTGTGTGTGTGTGTGTGTGTGTGTGTGTGTGTGTGTGTGTCGGGGCTATAGCGTGTTTCTCCATCAATCTCTATTTGGTCTTCTCTAGCGAGTTTTATTGTGGAGAGTGACACATCACAGACCAGCCAGCCGACCCTCGCTCCCTCCCCCTCCTCCTTGACGCTTCACACATCACCCGCTGTCTTCGCTTTGAGTCAAGTCGGCCTTAACTTTCTCTTTGCCTTTACATATTTATCTCTTTCTCTCTGTTTATGTCTCTCCCTCTTTTTTAATAATGATAAGAATGATTGATAACAAAAACAATATGATAATAACAATGATAATATAATATCAATAATAATAATAATAATAATAATAATAATAATAATAATAATAATAATAATAATAGAATAGAATAATCATAAAAAAAATAAAAAATCTAACAAAATTCTAGCAACCCCCAAATACACCGCATGAAGCCAAATATA